GGTCCCAGATTGGAGAGGGTGCAGGCTGGGCTGAGGGACACCCACCCCCCCCCCCGCATGAATTTCATGCACCAGGACACTAGTAATAATCATAAAGCACAAAATTATTCAACAAATTCAGAAAAAACAAAAAAATATTACTCATGTATGCTTTATACATACCAGTTTGGCTTGTGCTTCGGCAATTTTTCGGTTATTCTCTTCCAGTATTCGCTCTAGCTCCTCACGTTTTGCACGTTCTTCCTCCTAAAGGGGAGGACATGTTAAGATGTTAGAAAAATAAAATGTTTAATTTTATTGATAAATATTTACTAATCTTCCTCTGAACTTTTTTGATCTGATTTACAGGGTAGCTTTATATAAAGCTACCTTCTGTCTGACAAATGATAAACTGTGCAGCCACTAAAATTTGTTTCTAACCCTAAATTTCAATCATCCCTCCCAGTCCAAACAGCAACCGACTAAACCCTCCCTAATTGATAGTTTCCTGGCAATTATTACTAGTACTTTAATATCACACAAATCAACAAGGACAACTAACAAAACTGGAATAGTATTTACCAAATTAAAAAAAAATAATATAAAATATAAATAAAGTGAATATTTGTCTCACCAATTATGTATACCTACGTATTCTTTACCTATACTCCTTTAATCAGCATTAAAAGTTGAATATTTACTGTCTTGTCCAGTGTCCTGCAGAGTGTGCTCCTCGGCTGCCATACACGCCAGCTTCCTCTTTAAAATGATTTGTACTGTTAGCTTGGCAATACCTGCATCAGCAGCTCAACCATTTATAAACAACATACAAGGAAGGCTGAGCTGAGGAATGCAGATGTTTATGGTAAGAAGGAACAAAAAATGTAATTCATCATTCCTAAGGCAAACAATTAATAAGAAAAATACATTTACTGTTAGTGAAAAATACAAATGGTAATCCATACTTCATGGAACTAAGGGCTTCTTCCATGGGGAAAATGGACTTAACATTCAGATGTTGACAATTTCTAAAGGCAGCTTATCTTGTCATCTACAGTCTGAACTGAAATTCAGGAATCCATGGGGTGCATAGTAAGGAAATAAAATTCTGTAGTTTATTTTTTCTTGGAGAATTTAATGAGATTTTTATAATGCAAACTATATGAAGATTGCTCGATGGTTTGGGCAGTGTTAAGATCACAGCAGACATATTCAAATGATTTTAATATTTGGAAAGACTGGCAGAGGGTTGTGTCCGTGTTAAAAAAAAATATATTGTTAATATGAAACAAAAAGCACATGAAGAGAAAAAAATCTTCCTATGATTAATAACTCGCTACAACACAGCACCATTACTCCAAAAATATCTTCATAATTAAAAGCCCTGATACAAAAATTTCATACTTTCAATTGCATCAAGTCTGTGATATCCACCAAATACAGACATGTATATATGTAGTTAAAGACAGCACAAGGGAAAATACATTTGAAAAGCTAAGCTTACTGAAAGCAGAGATTAATGTCAATTTGTCCACAATAATGCCAGGACTAAAAATGACAATGAGGCATATATTTTGAGTCAAATATTTAAATTCAAGAAAATATAACTATAGGATTTCCAGTGGCACACACCAATTGAATTCATATTCACTATGGAAACTATGTTGAGGGACACTCAGTGCTGTAAAATAATTTGCTCTGAGTGTGTTTCAGAGACTTTCAACAAGTTTTAGGATCCTGGAGTAATCAGTGCAAATAAGCCATAAAGCTTCAGTAGCAAATTACTGTCTCACAGAAAGACATTTTCAACTTCTGCTCCAGCTGCTGATAAAACAAATCATGTGTTTAGCTTGACTCCAGACAAGGACAACCTGTTCCTTCATAACTCTCTAGAGAAAAAAAGGAGTTGTTAGTAGATACTAAAAAGTGGATGAATAATATGGACATTTTTCCTAAAAAGATTCTTTGAAACACATTAGGAAAATGGAGGGCCTTATGATCAAAACACTAGAATTAGTCCATGGTGTTGAGGCAGAATTTGGGGCAGGAGATGAGGGATAAAAGAAGGGAAAAAAAGAGCAAGAAAACCTATTTATCAAAAGCAGGTGCTCTCGTCACTCAATGTTAGGCCCTGCTCTTTTTAATCTGACTGAAGGCAAAAAGCCTCTCACAGTCTAGGTAATAAGAATGATAAACAGAAAAGAATACATAACCACAGGTGGATTTTTAACCTTTTCCCTTTAAAACTCCCTGTGTCCCCCAACCCTCCCAAAAAAAGAATGTAAGTCCTGCAGCCATGGCAAAAGTTTCAAACACTTCTCAAATATGTAAGCCAGTTCCATTAAATCAAAAAGTTTCCTTGAATATGTTTTATGAAAATAACTTTTAAATATCAGTCAGCACTTCTGAATAGCTAAAAAATTAACTTTCGCAGCAATGTTAAGTTTAGATGAGAAAGGAATTAGTCTGTATTCCATCTCTTTCTGAACTGAGCAGGAGGCACAACCAAAACTGAAAGTTTTGCCATGGACTGTCTCTACTTTCCAAACGACCGAGCGTTACCTCTCTGGCTTTTTGTGCTGCAAGCTCAGCTTGTCTCTGTCGCTCGAGTTCTTCGAGCAACTGCTTTTCCATGATGCGCTTGGCTTCCTCCACCCTTCGGAGAACTTCTCGCTCAATTTCATCCTTCCTTTTCTCCAATTCTTCCTCTACCCTTTTTGCTACCAATTCTTCCACTCTTCGTGCTGTTTCTTCCTCGATGAGTTTTTCTTCTATTTCCTGCTGCCGGCTAGCAAACAAAATGGAAAAAATGACTTAGATAATATAAGAAATAAACCTAAAATTTAAAACTAGTTATAAATCTGTAAAACATTGAGCCTGATATTAGGTTTCTATGATTTTGCAATTCATTTTCATGCAACATTCAAGGATATAATAGAAACCATGATGTTAAGTGATACAGAAATTCAAATAAACATAAAAGCATGGTTTTTTCCATCACTTTCTGAATTAAAAAAGCAGTACAGTACATACAAGAGCTCAATTCACCAGTTTTTATTTAGAAATGTAGAGCAAATGTGCAACAGGAAATCCACTTTTGTTATCAACTTTACAATGAAAAGACAAACTGTAAATACTAGTATATGGACTTGCTCATTTGCCAATCCACCCAGTCTAAGGGTTGAGCTGCAAAGAAGTCAGGAACAATCATTATGTAGCAATTACTAGTAATTCAGACCGGCAAAATTCATTCCCCTCTTCTACCCTCCAGGCAAAGTCAGAAGACAGACTCAAAGAGTTTCAGAATGCCAAGGCAATAGTTGTATAACTTTTAGTGAAAATATACCTTATTCAGATTCTGAACTTTACTGTATCTTTTCTTTATTTAATTGGTTTTCAATTAAAAGTTCTTCTAGAGATGAAAAGTGGATAAAAAATATATCATCAGTTCTATTAAAAAGCCCAATGAACCAAATACTGTTTTAATTTAACTCCATTTAGATATTATGAATCAACTTACTTAAAATAAAATTCTGCACTGAAAGTACTGTCGTTTATCAAATCAGTATAGTGGAAACCTTGTTTTATACCACTGGTGTCCAATGACTGCCTCACACATACCTAGGTTGAATTGAAAACCAAAACATAAAAAAAGACCTCATATCTTGATTTGATTACACCAAATGACAATATTTTGAGATAGACTGGAAATATATTAAAATTAATTTCAAAGGTTTCTTTAATAAAGTGAGCATTAAACACCCAAATCCACTTCAACTACATTTTGGGGGGTGATTCAATTTCCACTCTAGCGCTTTCATTCTCAATTCCTGTTACTACAGTGATACCATCCTAATACTGACTTACCTTTCACATTCTGATTCATGTGAAAGATATCTTTGCATTTAAAATCTCTACATTTTTTTCTGTCAAGATAACAGCTACTTGAGAAAGGATAACTTCTTTTAAATTTCTACGTATTTGAAATATCTATTTTGAAGATATTTAATTCCTTTTTTACCTTTATTTTTATTACTGACACTATTACAGATGCCTCCATTTCCCCCCACTTTGCCCACCTCTACCCAGCCCCCGCCCTTCCTTCCCTCTGGCCATCACCATACTGTTGTGTTGCTTTTTTAAAAAATAACTACTCCCCACCACATTAGTGATTTTATTTTTAAAAGGCACAAAAGCCTAACATGCTCTAACTGGAATTTTCTTTTACTCCTTTTTAATATCCAATAAAAATACAGCATTAGGGTATAAACCTTATAGCAGCTCAGTAAGAGAACAGATACCTACCCCAACATTAAAAATAAATAGCTAGGAATGTCTAAAGGAAATTAGGCAGCAATTTCAATGGAAATTAAACTACATTTCAAATAGAAAATTTTTGTTTACCTACTTCATCCAGAAAAAAATAAATAAAAGATAAAACAAGTAAGACTGACAGCTGCTAAATCTGGATGATGGATGTATTAAGCTTATAATATTCTCTCTACTTTTGCATTAAGTTGGAAAGTTTTCATAACACAAAGTTTTAAAAGTATACACACCCATATATACATATTTTGTTAGTTGGTTCTAATGAAGTTAATAAATTAGAAAAGCCTAAGAAGAAACTTTATAATGGTACAATTCAACTCTTAAAGGAAGGACAATGTAAAAAGTTCCAATTAAAATTTTCCATGTAAAGTAAAAAAGAAGGAAAAGAACAGGATAAAGCTTTGGTTAGCTTATCAATAGAAAAGTTGCCAAATTAACTTAGAAATTTGGTAAAGGTAAAAAGACCTGATACAGATTCAGGGTTTTTGTCAACCAGTCCTTAAGTAATAGCAATAGCACAAGGGCTAATAGGGCCTCATTTCCAAAGATAAGTATGTAAGCAAGCAAGCAAGGAGAAAAGGAGCCTAAATAAATTCAGTTTATCACTTACAACAAAAGCCAGATCAGCATGGTGTTAGCTCCCCCATGTCTCTGCTCCCACTGATGGATACCAAACCACAGGGGCTGGGTGACAGGTACCAGCACAGGTGGTGGGTTGCTCTGCTGCTAAGAAGTAAATGCTAACTACAGCTCAGCAGTTTTATAGCCTGAAGGGGAGGGCAAGTGGAAAGTCCCAAGCTCAACTAAAACAGGGAGGATGAGAAATGGCCTTATAGAATTTCTCACAAGGCTGCTTATCTCCCTTTGTTCCTGGAGGAGCCACAGAGCAGCCCACCATGACTATAATTAAGCCTTGCTGTTGTGTCCAACTGGGAGACAGGTTAGGAAGGTTACACCCCTACAACAGAGTATTATCAAGAACATAATCTTTGTTGTTGCTGTTATTCTTGGTAAGGTTAAAATTGCTACTCTAGTAAATCAGAAAAAAGAATTTTAATCAATTTTTAGATCTAGTGCTGAAAAAGCTAAAATCTAATATTGCTTTAATTCTCCTCCCCATAACACTGAATTCAGAAAACCAAAGGGCACTTGTACAACTGAATTAAGCATGAGTTAATCTTTATTGATGACAAATTTACCATAATCAATGATAAAGCAGCTATTACACCAACTCATAAGAGGCATTGCAACTTTCGTAAAACAAACAAATAATCACTTTTGTTACCTTATAAAAGATGTATCATCTAATATCATTGCCTATCCACTCCCTCAAACTTTTGCCATAGGAATTGTCAGTCTCTTGATGTCCTTTTCTCTCTCTAATCTTTTCCTCTGGCTCTTCTGCAGAGTCCATTTCCTTGCCTAGATTTTGGGGCACTGATGAAAGAGATATCAAAATCTTCAAGTTTTTCAATGGAAATGGCGTAACATTAGGTCTCCTTGATCTCAGGTGTTTTAAAAACACTAGTCACAATTGATTTTAAAATGGCAACTATTAAAATATCAAGAGCCCAGAAAAACAACAGTTAAAGGAGATCATGAATTTGTACATAGCAGCTTAAAACATTATTTTAAAATGTCTTTAAAATGTATGAACTCAACCCTAGGAGCTCACTTCTCAGAACTACTTTCATAATATTACCAAACAACATTTACTAAGTATTGACTAGGTACCAAATACTCTGCCAACAGCTTTATATACCATGTCATCTACATACACCTTTGATGGTTCCTGAGGCTAAGCAGGTTACTAACTCGGCTAAACCTCACTGCAAGATCTAAAAGGTGATTCTCAATCTGGGCAGACTCCAGAGCTAATGATCTTAAGCACTATACTACCCGTCATTGTTTCTCCAGGACAAAAGTGAGAGACAAAGGCATACACAACGATCTAAATACCAAAATAATTATTTTAAAAATTCATAAAAATCTTACCAGCTAGATTGTATGTTCTGATGCCCTCATCTCCCCAAAATACATAGTTCCATCTACTAAATTTGCTTACAAATGCTGCTCTCACAACAAGTTCAAGTAGTCTTCAAATAATCACTCATATAGATTCCATGTTCAGTTTAGATATTCTAACTTAGCAGGCTCCCGATTGGTCATGCAGTTAAACACTAAGCCTACTGGAATCTAGATATCGCCAATTACCATTTTCCTGATTTGCTGCAAGTCATTTTCAGCTGCCCACTTTTCATCAGTTAATACAACATGCATACAGCATCTCAAAAGATAACCATATGAAAACGACAATAAAGGTGCAGGGGAGGGCAGAGAGGGATTCACACTAAATGGCCCGGACTCGGGGAGGAGAGGCAGAGCTTTTGAACCAGGTGAATTAGCTATGGCATAGTATGCTATGCAAAAACAAAAATCTTTTTAAATTTTAAAGGTCTGCCTTTTATTGCATTAAGATTGTAACTTGTAAGATCACTTCTTAAATTCACCAGGCTCAATATGGCTGCATTTACATAAATTATATTAAACAACATTACTTATTGAGGCCCATTATATGCCATTGTTTTGATAATTTAAATGCACAATTTCTAATCTTCACAATAAGCAAGTCAAGTATCTTCGTTTCGGATAAGAAATCAAACTTACAGGTAGGTGATTTATTCAAGGCCTCAGAATTGTTAAAATGGCAAGGCAATCTGGTTTCCATCCTTACCACAAACTTTCTAATTAGTTAAGCCAGCAGAAGATTCTAATTTTGCTGTCTCTCTCCATCGCACACTGGATCTCTTGAAGGTACACTTGACACTAGGCATTCTTCTGGTACCTTTTCTCAGCTTCCACCCAACCCAATTGAAAATACAAACATTCCCTTAGGTTCTTTCAATCCCTGGGACCTTTTTCCACCCTCTCCAGGGGTCATTCCACTCTCAAGGTTCCCCCAGGTTTGTCCCTATATCAACGTTGTATAAACTGACTATATCCAAAAATTAGTGCGCACAGTGAAAGTGCAAAATAGAAACTCCCTTTGAGGGAAACTCCCTTTCCCTCACCCCTCTCCACTGGGTTTCTGACATTTTAACCAGTGTCTGAGACACAGTAGTTAAACATTCGGTGGCTGAGATTAATAGCCACAATATAAACATGAACCAACATTATTACTGCTTTCTTTCCCTATGTTTCACATCCAATTTTATTTGTTCTAAATGTTTAAATATCTCTCTTTGGCAATCCCACAACTGCTCCCCCACTACTCCTGTGTGGACTTACTATAACTAGTTTCTACCCTATACAGCAATCAGGGATTTTTATTTATTTTTTTATTTTTTATAAAAGGCCTTATGTCATTTATCTGCTTAAAACCTTTCCTGTTTCTAGGGTGAAATCCAAGCTCCTTAATATGGCATACAAGACCCTTCCCATGATTCCCAGCTTCTACTTGACCTTTCCAGTTACTCCATGACTTTAGTATTTATAGAACTTCATGTTCCAATTAACATCCATCCACCTTTTTACTCAAGTATCCTTCTAGGCCTACTCTGACAATCTCTATTTTTATCCACCACTCATTCCGTAGAACTGAAGTGTTGACCCATCCAAGATACTTCTTCCTTTCTACAGTCACATTACTATCACTGAATCTGTACCTATGTCTTCCAGTTAGATCAAGATCTTGGAGAGGGGTCAATCTTTTTTTTAATATATTTTATTGATTTTTTACAGAGAGGAAGGGAGAGGGATAGAGAGTTAGAAACATCAATGAGAGCGAAACATCGATCAGCTGCCTCCTGCACACCCCCTACCAGGGATGTGCCCACAACCAAGGTACATGCCCTTGACCGGAATCGAACCTGGGACCCTTTAGACCACAGGCCAACGCTCTATCCACTGAGCCAAACCGGTTAGGGCAAGGGGGGGGGGGGTAATCAATCTTTATATTAACAGCACCTAGCACACTACCAGGCACATTAAATGCTCCATAAATTGGATAGTTGAATGAACTAACCAATAGGGATTTGCAAACAGAAGAGTTCTGCCCATTCTCGTGGCTTCAAAACCTGGGTCTTTCCCTTATTTCCTTTGCATTATTTCAAAGGCACTACTAAAACATATTAAGTAGCGCCCACAGTATGACACACAAATTCAGTGTGCAGGTGGTTGCTAGCTCTGCCTATTCCTTCCTTTATAAATGCTAAAGGTAGTTTGCTTTTCCTATCAACTTGGAACTACAGAGCTGCTCTATTTTCTGAGTTTCATCCTTGGACTTCTCTGCTATTTATGTGTTGCTCACTGCTAAATGATTCTAACTATTCTTAGCATACCACATTTCCTTTCACTTTTTCTACAAGTCTTAGCTTTCTAGTGAATGTAAAGTGTCTAGTGAATTGAAGGTCTCCTTTGCTTTCACATGAAAAACGTATGCAATATCTTAGGTAATTTTAAAAAATATTCATCTGTTGATAGTTATTTGAGAGCTACATCTTTACAGTTAATCTTGTTCCAGACCAAAAAAACTGGATTCTATATAATCAAGGTTTGTTGAGAAACAATCACTTGTACTTGGTTTTCATATATATCGCTGACAGTTCTGAAAAATAAAGGAAAGATGAAAGCATTGCTTACATTTTAAAATGAATGCAGCAAAATACCTCTCCAGGTACTGTATACTCTGTAATATTAGTGTCCCAGTCCCCTACCTCTCAGTAACTTTGCTCTTAGAAACAGGTTCTGCTGAAAAATCTACATAATACAAACCTAAATGCAGAAAAATTAAAAAAAAAACCCAGACAATTTAGTACACATAAACTAAAGGAAAATTGTCTCAGGAACATTTTAAATTCCCTGCCTCATGAGCATTTTCTAAACATGCGCTGAAGAACGGAGGAAGACAGCCAGTTCAATAGCGGAAGTGAACCTATCTAACTCTACCTTTCAACCTAACTGTGGGAAAGGAATATCCAGAGCAGAGCACCAAAACGAAATGCTACGTTTTAAACGCAAAAGTCCCTCCGTTTGGGATTATTTACACCTATTCTTGAATCAAAAGATACTTGAGAAATACATTCCACCCAAACAAGACTTCCTGCACGCGAGCAAAGTCTCAACATCAAGTACACTACAAGGGGAAACGAATGTCAGGACTGTGCCGAAGTTTGCCACAGAAGCATGTAATTCACAGCTCATCCAAAGCAGTTCGCAGAGAGTGGACTGACTGGGATGGTGTTGCAGGTGAATGCCGGCGTCAAAACTGACGGTACTGCATGCACACCTAAGGTGTGTACAATTTGTCTTTACACCTCACATCACAAAACCAAACACGGAACAGCAGCCGCGACATTTTAAACTACTAGGAATACATTAAAATAGAATGTATTTGGGGGTGACGGGGTACTGTTGGACCTATAGACCTAAAAAGTATCTTATTGCGGGGAAGCCCAGTCCCACATGTAAGCGGCAATGCAACAGTGCTCTGGGCAGCGGCGACCGGCATCCCACGGGTGGGCTCCTTCCTGCTCTCGTCCTGCGGGTCGGCAACAGCCCTGCACACGCGTCTCCGGGCTGGCTCACCGCGGCCACGCAGCTCTCCGGCCCCACGCGGAACTCCACCCCCTGCTTCCTGCGCTCTCCACCCTCTCTCGCGCCAAAATCGCGTGCTCCCCTTTGCGCCTATCCCGCTCAAAGTCCCACTATTTTCCTCCCCAGCTCAGTCCCGGGTATGTCCTGACCTAGGCTCCCCGGAGGGTCCCCGCGAACCCCGCAGCCGCC